CATTGTGCTGGGCCGGCTCTTCGTCGAGACTACGCGCACTGCCAGCGGGTGCGCTGGGCAGTCTGGAAAAGGTCGACTTGGGCACTACGGATCTTCCTTCCTCATCACCAATCGATGTCTTCCTCGGCGCGCAACGCCTTAACAACGTCTGTTCCTATATACAGAGCACGACCTTCTTCCGGATGCCTTGGTGGCAAGTGATCACCCTCTCACTCATGGAGGACGGAGGACCCACACCCGCACAACTCTTCCTCGATATTTTGCTACAGTGCACAAGCGTTGTCGACGTGTTCTTTAGCAGAATGATGCCTTGGGGTGAAGCACCTGCATCCTCGACGTCGATCATTCACCTGCCACGGCTTCAAAACCTCACGCTGATATTCGGTCCTCACCCAGACCAAAACATCACCCCCTTCTTCACACGGCTGGCGCTTCCTGCGCTGACATCCCTCACTATTCACTCAAGTACGGGGACCTCATGGTCATCCGCAGACTTCACGCAGTTTCAAAGACGCTCTCCGAAAGTCCAAGCACTGGCGCTTGAAGCGGCTCGTCTCACAACAGAGAGCGCCCTTGCCCTTCTAACGGAATACCGGCATCTCACCGATATCGATTTGCAATTCTGTTTTCGGCGTTCTGAGCCGTTAGACTTGAGTTCGGTTCTGAACTGGCTCCGATACAAGGATATCACCAGCCCCATTCCGCAACTCCGTCGACTCTCCATCGTCGATCGCTGGATAGACCGTCTCGACGAAGCCATATGCGAGGGGATGATACTTTCCAGATGGTGGACAGATCCGCAATTGGTGCCACAAAATCGTGCGCGACTGGAGTCTCTGACCATTTCTGGCAGCAGGATCGGTAAGTTCAGTGCACCCTTCTTAGCCAAGGTGGAGCAACTTCGGGCGGAGGGGCTTCAGGTCACACTTAGATAGTACATGTTTTTCTGGAGTCAATTCATACTTGATGCCAGGAGTTCGAGCGAAATCGGTGGAACGGACGAGTGAAACTCATAAAAACAGGTCGGGGGTGGTCGGAGGAGCAGCTCTCCGCTCGGTCCATGCCTGCTCCTGTTGCAAGATGGAAAATCGTCGGCATTGGTACGTAATTTGCCCACTGTCCGCAGCAGCTCCCGGAAATGATTAGAACAGCTGCGGAGAGGAGCCTGAACGTGTGATACAAAAACTATGGTACAACTGCCACGCTGAGGTTACAAGAAAAGGGTCGAGACACCGCCACTCCATCACAAAGAATCGTGTTCAGAACAGAGAAGTCAAGTCCTGAAGCTATCGCCGTGGGCGCGGATTCTTTCAATCTAGTAGAAAGATCAGCCAGCAGGAATTAACGACCGGAAGATGTGCTCGCCATATTCAAATCAACGGCATCACCCATGTGTTTGAAGGTAGATTGAATGTCTACCCTCAATCCTCCGGATTGGAGATGGCATAATCTTTCCACCGCTGCGTCGACCTGTATGTCCAGTTCGTGATACAGCTCCACATTGTCGGAGTCCGGATCCCAAGTCACCCCCGACCCAAACGTGAGCTCGAATGACTTCAAGTTCGCCACGTTGTCCTCCCTGCTCGGAACCCTTTGCGTGCGCGCCGAGAGCATATCAACGAGATTGATGAAAGGAATTTGGAACCGCAAGTCCACGATCTTGAGTATCTCGAGCCCCGGTATAAATTGGGCATCGTCGTTGAGAGTGTCGAACAGGAATGAAAGTGTTTCCTTTGTAGGAGCGTTGATTATCAAATTGCGGACAGAGGACAGCGGAACTGCGTCAAAAAAATCAACAACAAGATTCTCCTCGTCCATCGAGTACATCCAGAGTTCGAGTGTATGCATGGTGCAGCTGGATCGCGCGATGAAGGGTTCCATCAATTCCCAATCCGATCTACCAGTGACGGCGATGGTGAGGCTCTGAAGGGCCGGAAGAGTGAGGTGTCCAATAATATCACAACAGTTGATGAGGTGAAATTCGAGCCTCTGTAGCTGGGGAAGGACGATCATGGGCATGGATTGAATTTGATTTTCAGGTACCCCAGCCAGAGATACGCCCGTAAAGTGGAGAATCTCAAGATTCGGTGTATGAGCGAGGAGTTGCCACCACCGCTCGAAACCCGCGTTGATTTCAAGTTCCGTCAATTGCGTCCACGGGAGTGCTGTTTCCCACTGGGACATTGTACGGCCATACTCGAGTCGCAATTCGACAAGGCGGGGCGCATGCAGGATGGGCATGATTGTCGGGTCTACGCAAGAGCACAACGTCGCAAAGGTGAGCGCGGTGAGGCTCGAGAATGTGCCGGGTAGATGGACTGGCAAGTCACCGTGGCGCATGGTGGAGATAGTCAACGACTGCCAGCGGGCAGAATACTCGGATAGAAGTTGGCAGAGCACTCGAAATTCGCTCGAGGATGAGGGATAATAGCTTGTGAAACGAAGAGTTAAAGGGAGATTGCCAGAAAGAGGAAGCCAAGAGGCTAGTTGGTCCACTAATCGAAACGTCAGCCGACGCTGAGAGAGACAAGAAACCACTCGCCGTAGCGAGACGAAATACGATCGAAAAGCCAGCAGGTGGATAGAGCCACTTGGCGCCATGAGCGGCACACCGATAGCAAGTTAAACAACGTGAGGTGGCCCCAGGGACTGTCTGTCCACGGGTCATCCGAATCCACATAGTGCACGAAGATCTTGGAGGTGATTTCATTCGGAAGAGTGAGGACTGGATATACGATGGCGGCTAAATCGTTTTCGATAGTCTCCTTTTCGACACGCAGCAGACTCATTTGGTCTTCGAGCGACCGCATCTGTTGCTCGATTTGCCCAAGGCGAACACGGCGACGCGGACTGCTCAGCATCTAAGCCAATGATCTGGTCAGCATTGAGAAGAGCGAAGTAAAGAGTACGCACCGCGAGCCTCGTCTACGAGTGGCAGATGGAAGCAAGAAGGAAAGGAAGCGGGCGACACACACACAAACACCGACCCGAAGTTCCGACACGTTCGTCTTTCAACAGTCTTTGTCGGTCCAGCGACGACTCAGATAGCAAACGCTTCAAAATACGAAAGCGATGGAGTTCAAGGTATATTTATTCACTGTGCAGGCAAACATCTGTGCATTACTCTCACATGATTGCGAGTCGCGACTCGCGACGACAAAGCATCACTAATACTAGAAGACAGATACGTGAATGGGAGGCTGAGACCTTTCCCTACTGCCACCGGGGACGGTCAAAAGGAGGGAAGCCCAAACAGCGTTGATTGTCGGAACTTGACCTACCGGGGCGTGCCGTCTCTCTTCTGACGGAATACACGCATCTGGCCGCTCGCGGGTATCCGGCTGGTATACTGTTTCAACGATGCGGCCGCGATAACGTCCACGGTGAAATTTCTCACATCCGGCAATCCTGCTGCCCTGCCCCGCCCGTTCCGCGACTCCGGACTCGGCTTTCTATCTAGAACCTCTGGGTAACCTCCGTCGACGAGACTGTATGGGACTTTCGCGATGGTGGACTGATCCGCAGCTGGTGACACATAGTACTGCGCGATTGGAGTCTCTTACTATTTCCCGTGGCGGCGCTAGAACATATCAGTTCAGCGCGGCGTTTGTGGCCAACATGGACCAGCTTCAGGCGGAGGGGCTCCATGTAACGATTAAATAGTTCAATTTTTCTACATACGCCGTTCTAAACACATACAAGATCTGTTCGATTGTTTCTTCAGTTGGTGCAAGCCCGGTATCGTACCGTTCTGATAGGGGCTCGACGCGACGCGTCTGTTTGGTTGCATTGCGCGATTTAATGGCGACTCTTCGGCATCTTCTCTCCACCAATATCTCCCTCAGGGAGAGACAACACATTGCTAATTCGATCTTCCCTGCCTACAGGAATCTGACCTGTTGTCTGTTACGAAAGAGTGCTCGCCTCGATGCTCGACATTGCTCGTCTATTATTGATTGATTCACTCTTTGTTTCGTACCACCACAATGCTCGCTTCTACCGACCACAACTTGCAGCTCTTCCACGACCAAGAGCCTGTTCATACGCACCAAAAGTGTAGCCGATGCTACAAAATTCAGCGTGGGCACGCCTTCAAGCTGTCGCTGTGCAACGGATGCCAGATCGACATGTACTGCGTGAGTGGCTCAACAAAGAGCAAAAAAAACTCTAAACCTCCCCAGTCGAAAGAGTGTCAAGTCGCAGACTGGCCGAATCACAAAACGGCATGCAAGCAGTACAAGAAGGAGCGGATTCAACTCGCCGACATGACCGGTATCGCGTCCGCTGGCCCGGACATCTACGCGTGGATGAAGTACTACGACACTCCGCTCAAAAACTGCGCTGTTGCAGCACTGAATCCCCGCGTAGAGCCTCACAGTGAACGCACCGACTGCTTGTATTTGCAGATTCGTCACACTGGCGACACGACCGTTCCCGTCTCTCAACGATTCATCGTCGAGAGCGTCGGTCGAGAGAGTGTCTCCAAATTCCAAGGAACCTCCATGGCTGCACCTGCGGGGTACTACGACCAGGCGTGTAACATGGGACGCATCGAAATGGGCAACGACTTCTACGGTGTCGCGCGCTACGCCTTGACGGTGGTCTTTGGGCCGGAGCACGCACCGAATGGAGCCAAGCATCTGTGGAAACACTTTTCTATCAATAAGAGCACGGCACGTGCGGTGCGGACGCGGTTGGATTGGTGGATTTTGCTCCGTGAGTATGTTTCGACTGGTGCAAAAATGCGGTTTTGTTGCGGGAGGATTGCAGACACTGAGGATATCTGTTGCTGCGGTGGGTGGACGCACGATGCGGACAAGACGGTGGGATTTTTGGCTTGTGTTTCGATATCTTGCGCTGATTGTCTTGTAGAAGGCGTTTAGGGAGGCAGCGCAGTCGAAATGAGGAGAGAATGAGAGATTTTACCAGTGTAGTTGGATTACCTTTTGTACTCCTCCTAAGCCCTCCGATAGATTCCCACATGTTGCCCAGCCGTCACGGCATTAATGGGGTAGTGGTAACCTGGGTCGTTGCCATCGTGTATTTGCAGCCGCAAAACTCGACCCGCCGGGGGTTCGATTCCCCCTTAATGCATTACAGTGCGGCCAGCGTTGTTCTTTTTTTTGGCTCTCGAAATTTGTGGGATCATCTTCTTTTTTGAAACAATGATTTTGACCCCTCTCCTCACCCACGAAGGAACCTGCGCACTTCGCTCGACACGGGCCAAAGCCGCTCAGGTCTCTTTCGAGCAGCGCCCGATGGCGCCCCCCCGCCCATTTAGACAGCTGCTCCCCCGCGCTGTTTTCCGTGTCTCACGCACGCGGTCTTGTCCCGACCTTCCAGCAATCCCGGAACTCTTTTCTGGACGCTCTCATCCCACCTGCCCCTGATGTCAGGAACCGCGAGACGACGATAGACGCCTTCCGTTTTCACCAGGCGGTCACGGAGAAAGGGACACCCGCGTACAACTCGACGCTGTCCGCCACGCTGGATGCATTCTTTCCTCAATCACGCTGCCTCGGGAGACAGAGTCGTGGTACTCTCACGTGATGGCGCTGACAATGCATCATTAAAATTTAAAAGACAGATACACGAACGAAGGGCTGAGTGCCGTCAAAACGAGGGAGGCCCGTGCAGCGTGTAGCTGATGCCCAGAGACTATGACCGGGGGCGCAGGTATGTATGTACGTAAATTGCAAATCACCAATGGCCTTTCTCGATGGGAGGAGAGCTGCGAGAGCACGAGCCAGAGGCGACAGCGAGCATATGAGGACATGAGAAACGCAGGCAGCGGTAAGGCGAGGAAGAGCCTTGGGAGCATGCGAGCGACGATGGGCCACAGAGGACGACCTCGAAAGGCGGGCAGTAGCGGCCCATATCCTCGGGTCCAGACCACTTGATTCAAAATCATGTGGGCTATCCCCAGCAGCATCCTGCCCGTCGCCCGCTCCTGTCACCGCTGAAGGCTCCGGGCGTGTCTGGGTGCGGGGTGGGCATGCTCTGGCGGTGGTGATGTCGGAAGACTTTAGAAAGCGGCGGCGGGATGGCGGCGGGATGAGGTTGTAGGTAGGCACGCACGCCGTTGGAAGACGGGCCAAAACGCGGAACGAGGAGTAGGCGATGGCAGTGGGTTTGCTCTGCATGACGAGCTCAGATGGCGGCGACAGACATCGGCGATCGTCACTCACGGGCTGAGAAGAGGAGAATGGATGCTCCGCGGGGAGGGCGTGGGCAAAGGCATAACCGACGGGGACATCGACGACGGGAGCTCAACGCGCGACGTCCACGGTCGATGTAAAGATTCCCTCGAGAGCGTGGGTGACGACGTGCTCCAACGGGAAGAGAAACAGAACGACGGGTATTCCTTCAATGGAAGGGCACGACATGTGCTGCACGCCTCGGAGCGAGGGATTGAGGACGAAGAAAGAGCTCGGCGTCCCTGAGCGGACCGGCAAGAAGGGATGAGCAGGCGCTACGAAGAGCTTGAGTCAGCGACAGCGATGAAAGACCTGCAGTAGGGACTCGTCAGCTCATGTGCGATAGTGATGATGACTCTTGCGCACCAAAGTAACAGTTGCTAGCCGCTGCCCTTGCCTCCTCTAGTAGCTGTGCCCCACTTGGAAGATGACGATCGGAGCTGGGTGCCGCATTGGCGCGAGGAGCCATGGCCTAGGTGACATCGGGTAGGTGTGCCATTCGACATCCCGCGCGAGCTGAGCAACTGCTCTAGTTCCCGGGATCGCCCGTGCTCTAAGCTGGATTGAGGCGCTCGAAAGCCTCCTGCATCTCCGCTGGAGTCCTCGATTAGGGGTGCTGCAGTCTTCGCAAGTGTAGGCACGATGGTGTAGGTCGAGTAAGATGGGAAGATGTAGACGCGGCCTAACGCTAAGACGACGGGGAAGAGGCACGCATGCCCATGGCCATGTCAAGCCAAAAGGGCCTACACCGTAGCTGGATCGAAGCTTGCAATTGAGGAACAGGGAGAGCAAGCTGCTGACATCGAAACCGGTGGCGAGTCGACTGGGAAGCCGGAATAGCAGAAGGGGGAAAGAGGAAAAGGGTGGACAATGTCGGGCTTCCCATTCGTGACGCAGTAATCTAAGAGACTAGTTAGTTTATGCACGATCCGATGGAGTCTGTTGCGCACCAGCATCGCATCCAACTGGAGCCTCTGGACTCCTGCATTTGGAAGAGAATTCATCCCCTCCAGCGCCTCCCGAGTCAGCACAAAACCGACGGGGACTGCGAGGGGCGTGGCGTACTGGACAATGAGTCAGCGCGGGAGCATACTTAGACGTTGTCCAGAGCCGTCCATAGAAGCACAGGTATTGAGTCAATGACGACGAGCAAAGAGGCTGGTGGCATCCTGAGCGACCCCGAGCCAATTCAATCTTCGTGTGGTCTCTCAGATCTCAGCGTTGATGGTGTTGGTGTTGTCGGTGTCGTTCACGGAGGAGGGACTCCATAGCATTCAACGAGGCATTCAGGGCGATGTTCGGGCTGGGCGTGCATGGTGAGCGAAAGAAAATAGTGGACGGCAGCCGGATCAAATCCGAAGATGCAAAACGGCTTTTGCTTTCCCGGTCCGCGTCCATCCCGTCCGACAGAGAACGAGCACAACTACGTGCGTCGTCATTTATCCTGTATCTCCAACTGCTAACCAAACTTGTCTTCCAGTGTTCTTAGCATGGACAGTATCCGAGACCAAGAGCGAGATCTTCTTGCTGCGCTCAGACCGCTCATCGCCCCCATCCGCAAGCTTCCTGTCGAATTACTGACGGAGGTATTTCTCCTGCTAGTGGATTCGACGGGAGACTGGTTGCTCTCCGCGCTGCTGGTGTCTCAGATCTGTGCACATTGGCGTCGGGTGGCTTGTGCGACACCCCAATTGTGGGACCGATTCATTGCTTTGGACCGCACAAAGCCACGATCTGCCGCCTATCTGGCCACCACGAAAACGCTTTTTGAGCGGTCGGCACCGCTCTCTGTGCCAATCTCTCTCAAAAATGAGTCGCGCAAGGCGTCCCCCCTGGCCGAATACATCTACAGTTTGGCCCCTCGATGGAAATCGTTGTCTTGGTCCGGCTCCTCGTCGAGACTACGCGCACTCCCTTTGGGTTCGCTGAACAGCCTGGAAAGCGTCAATTTGTCACACTGCACGGATGTCACTTCCTCGTCGCCAATCGACGTCTTCCTCGGCGCGCAGCGCCTACGCACAGTCACTTTCAGCTTAGGGGCCATGGGCCTCTTCCAGATGCCTTGGTCCCAGCTCACTTCACTCGGAGTGACAGAGCTTATGCAACCCGCCCAGGCCTTCCTCGACATTTTGTTCCAGTGCACGAATGTCGTCGATGTCGCCTTTAGTGCAATGATCCCTTGGACTGAAGCACCGGCTTTGTCTACACCAGTAATCCAGCTGCCGCACCTCAAGCAGCTCACGCTCATATTCGCTCCAGGCGCAGGGGAGAACATTACTCCGTTCTTCTCACGGCTATCGCTTCCTGCGCTCATTGTACTCAATATCATGCACGCAGACACGGATATGACTGCCTGGTGGTCAACCGAAGATTTCACACAGTTCCAACGACGTTCTCCGCAGGTCCATGAACTGTCGGTTTTCGGAACCAGTCTCACATCAGAGGGCGCCGTCTCTCTTCTAACCGAGTACCCCCATCTCACCTAGATCGATTTGCGTGGCTGTTTTCGCACCGAAGACACGTTGAACTCGGTTCTGGACTTGCTCGGACGCAAGGATACTCAGCCGCGACTCCGTCGACTCGCTATCGTGCACCATGCCATAAACACAGCTCACGAAGCTGTGTTGGAGCAGATAATCTTTCCGCGATGGTGGCCGGATGCCCAATCGGTGGACCATACTGGTGCGCGATTGGAGCGTCTCGACATTTCCCGTGGTGAAGATCTGGCGCATCAATTCAGCGCAACGTTTGTAGCAAAGGCGGATCAACTTCGAGCGCAGGGGCTTAAGGTTGTTCTATGACACGCCGTTGTATTCAATAATTTATATGTAGAAATTAAAATCTACGAGTTCCAAGTCGAGTCCCTCCAACTTAATTTGTTCCACCTTCTCCAGGAACCGCTCACTCGAATCTGAACTTTTCTGAAGGGCATGGCACAGCAGATGAGCATCCGTCGGAGTCGGGGAGCAATGGGGGTGGAAAACGGAGCGACACCAGATTCGAGGATTCCGCGAGGACAAGAGTGAGCTCGGCAGCATTGAGTTCGGACGCGCGCTGTTGATTCCTATGTATGTATGTGTTCGATTTTTCGGAGAGTATCGTTGAAAAACCGTGAAATCAGCGGACGACCAGCGTGCCCTGGCCCCGAGGAAATAGTCAGGTTTTCCAGCGCGGGCCCGCGGGGAGCGCCAAGCGAGCCAAAAAAAAAAAAGCAAGGTAATTATAAAACCCTCTGCAAACGATCTGAATTCAACCGACATGTAGTCGTGGCACCTCGCTGCGTGGACCGGTTGGACCAGGCTGCTCTTCCATCTATCCCAGAGAAAACGATTCTTTCACTGCGCCGGAATGTCGAAAATGTTTTGCATGGGCGACCCAGGACCCAGACGAGAGTCATCCCAAACTGCAATTGTGATGTGGGTGAGCTTGGATCAAGGCATGTGGAAAGGATTCGTGTCGTCGACATCGAGGCTCACGATGCGGAGGAGGAGCGCGTGGAGGAAAACTTCGATCGGCAATGCATGGAGCTGTGAAAATGGGTGAATGGTGGCCGCAAAGAAAGCAAGTCCCGAATGCCGAAAACTTGACGACATGGGTTGAACGTTGAACTTTCAGTCGAAAATCCTTGATTTGAGGATGAATTATATCACAGCGTACTATGGCAGACAAAAAAAGGCTAGGTAATCGTCACCTGCAGCCCCTCCGTCCGAAGTTGCTCCATCTTGGCTAAAAACGGCGCACTGAACTCCTCAGTCCCGCTGCCAGAAATGGTCAGAGCCTCCAAGCGCACACCGGAATGTGTCACCAGCTGCGGATCTGTCCACCATCGAGAAAGTATCATCCTCCCCCATATGGCTTCGTCTACAGAATTTACCCACGGGTTCTCGATAGAAAGCA